TCTATTCCAGTCGATCCACCAATATCACCAAATGAAATAATCACAGACTCGATAGAGGTGCGCTTGCCAATACCAAAACGAACAAAGACTGAAATACCACGCTTTGATGAAGATGAATATGGAAATATCCGACAAGTGGCTGATGATTTAACAAGACCGGCAGGGGAAAACAACAAAGAAAGTGATGTTACTTTACCTGATATAACTTCACCACCTGATCATACACCACCGAAGTCAAGGGCACCTGAGGATATAACTTTACCACTTGATCATACACCATCGAATTCGAGTACATTACCTGAGAGTGTATTACCTGATATTGCACTACCTAATGAAACTTTACCACCTACTGCATCTACATCTGCATCTACTTCCACACCACCTTTGAGATACAATCTTAGGAAGAGAAAGAGAAGCGATGACGACGATATAGAAGAACAGAGAGACTCCAAAATCATTCGGGCCTTACTTGCTTCCTTAAATAAGCCAGGATCAGAATCAATTGAGCACGCCATGATTGCCATTCCAAATATTCATCAATTCGAACAGGAGACGAATAATGAAATTGCTTCGAAGATCTTGACTATTTTAGCAGATGCACCAGCAGAAGCTGAGACCGCTCTACCAGCAACGGAAATACTCGGGATCAAGATACCGAATACATATAAAGAAGCAATGGCAGACAAAAAGCACGCGAAAGACTGGCAAGCTGCAATTCAAGAAGAAGTAGACTCATTGGTCAAGAATGGCACTTGGGAAGAGTTCATTTTACCACAAGGGAGCAATCTAGTTTCAACGAAATGGGTATTTGTTGTTAAGACGAAGGATAATAAGGTAGAGCGATTCAAGGCCAGATTAGTGGCTAGAGGGTTCAGCCAAGTTTTAGGTAAAGATTACAACGAAACCTTCGCCCCCACTGTTCGACTCGATACTCTTCGCCTTTTCCTTGCAATTGTTGCAAGAGAGGACCTCGAGTGTTCCCATTTCGATATCAAAAATGCGTTCACCGAATCACACTTGAAAGAAGAAATCTATTTAGCACCCCCTCAAGGTGTTCATGTTCGTCGCGGCCGCGTTCTACATGCACTTCGGAGTCTTTATGGGCTAAAGCAAGCTGGTAGAGATTGGAGCCTTCTTCTGAAAGGAGAGTTAACCAAGATGGGTTTCGTACAAAGCCTTGCGGATCCGTGTTTATACACCAATCACCCGCGCCAGCTAATTCTCCTAGTGTATGTAGATGATATTGTTACTGCTGCTGCACAAAAACGAGATATTCAATGGTTTTATCACAACCTTTCTGCTCGATTCAACACCAAAGACCTGGGGGAGATTAGTAAGATCTTAGGAGTGCGCATCATTCGTAACAGATCAGAGAGAGTGTTAACTATGGATCAAGAAGAGTATCTGGATGCAATGCTTACCCGATTCGGGATCTCCCATGGTCAACACACTCCAAGGAAGATACCAATCTCGGATTACAACCAACTACGACCAACGCTCCCAGACGACGAGCTCACTGATGTAAACGAATACCAGCAAGCAATCGGCAGTACGATCCACCCTATGGTTTACACTAGACCGGACATCGCATTCGGTCTCGGGAGATTAGCACAAGCTATGTCTAACCCTGCCAAACATCACAGCGTTGCACTCAAAAACCTTATGAGATATTTGAGGTCAACTATTAAACAGAAACTACGTTTTGGGCCTGGGGGAGTTCAATCAGATATTTGCAAAGAATATGACCTCCTACAACGCACCATCAAAGTATACACCGACGCAGACTGGGCAAGCGATAGAACCGATCGAAAAAGCATCTCTGGTGGGGTAGTAATGTTCTATGGTGGACCAATCTCATGGGCAAGCAAGAAGCAGACATCTGTAGCTACATCTAGTACAGAAGCTGAGTACATTTCCATGGCGATGTTCACCAAACAAGGGCAATGGGTAGCCCAACTCTTGAGGGACTTAGAGCGACCACAGTATATCGGGAGCAACAGCGGAGTTCAAATGCTCGGAGACAACCAAGGAGCGCTAGCGTTAACCAAGAACCCACATCTACACGAGCGATCAAAGCATATTGACATATGTCACCACTTCATTCGAGATCTCACAGAAAAACATCTAGTCAATACCAGCTATGTCAATACAAGTGATATGGCTGCAGATGGATTAACAAAACCATGCGCAAGGGTGATATTTGAGAGATTCAAGAACATGCTGGGGTTTCAAAGAGAGTAAGCTCTTTGGGAGAGTATTGGAAGTTGTGGTATGTGCTCCAAAATCGACTAAATCGACCAAATTGACCAAATCGACCAAAATCACTGAATCCACCCATTTCACCTATTTCATCAGATTCATTGGATTCATCTTACGTCGAATTTATCAAAAAAAAAAAAAAAAAAAAAAAAAAATTAATGATTTCAAGAAAATCACGTGGAATAACAGATAAGCTTAAGGTCTGTTCGCATACGATCGGATTTTGATGGTCTACCATATTAAAACAATAACCCTACGATCAAGGAATAACGAATTTCGAAGCAATCAGTTATTGGGCGTATAAAAGGAATTTTAAAGAAACTAACTACTGAAGCTGAGAGAGTAAGCTCTCTGGGGGAGTGTTGGAAGTTGTGGCACGTGCTCTAAGCTACTGTGCATATATCACTTCCACTTCGTAGTTAGATTTTACCTTAGTACAATTAATCTACATAGTCAATAATACATGCATTCCACTGGCCTGCTCCTTTATTGTGAACAAAAGCCACTATAAAAATATTCAAAAGTAAAGTGTCTTATTTTATCAATATTTTTAAGAATTTCGAATCTTTTCATCAAATTAATTCTAATTCTATTCCATATCATGATAAATAAACTAGGGTATCAAAAGTTAAGTGTTCGAAGATTTTCGTCGGAAAAGCGTTGTCTGTACAGTAAATAGACTCCAGAACTCTTATATAAAAGGAGATGAGATGACTATTAAAATTCATCACTCTGTAAATTCGATAATAAGTAAATTCCATATGGAATTATAAGGATTAATGACATCAAATAAGTACTCAATTAGTCTTTAACTACAACACTATTTGAATTTTTATGTCTTCTAATGGAAATCGAACCATTGGATTATCGAGGGAGTGGTTGGTTTCGCTAGGGGCTTGAAAAGGGTATTGGAGTGGTATGGAGGATGTGTATGATCTCATCGAGGTTGTTAGCCTTGGATATGAAGTGAAGGCGCCAAATCAAAAACTGGGAATATTGCTCACCGGAAGACACAGTACTCAATTGCGGGAAGAGTTTCAGCAAAGTTTGTGTCCTTGTGATCATGTCCTTCATAGCGTGGGTATTTTGGTCTGTTTTTATGAATAGGTAGGTAGGTAGGTAGGTAGAGTGCAGAGAATAGATAGTTTCTTTTCCAGGTACTATTAGGTAGTTACTCGCTTGAATTGTTCTTATTGGTATGTGTCATGGAAGTGCCATATACGTTCTCATATACTCAGATACTCTTTAATTGTTACTGTTACTATTAATGTTTATCTTGGTGTAGATGTCTATGCTGATATTAATGTTACAGCAGAGTATGATATACCTATCTACCTATCTACTTACCTCGATACCCAGCCTAGTAAGTAAGGGTGCGTTTGGATCGATTTATTTCGGCTTATTTCAATTATTAAACCTTATTTATTTATCAAATAATGCTTAGTAAGCTCAAATAATAAGTTTATTAAATACTTGAAATTATAAAATAAATTATTAGGAATTATTGGATTTGTAATAATCTAAATAAATTAAAATGGTAAATGCTTTCAAGATTGTTATATATTGATTATAAAGTAGCTTTTTAAAGCTTTACAAATAATTCTTTAATAAATCTTTATTATTATTTACCCCTATCATTTTTCAACATCATCCAATATTATTTCAAATATATTAGCCTCAATACTCTTGTTATTTTAACAACATGATAAATTTCTTCAAATAAATAAGAAAACGAACCGAACGCATTCTAAGTAAGTCTGTGCTCTATCTGACACGAAACGAAACGGAACGGAACGAAACCCATTTCCTGACCACCAATTAGCATTCTGTGTACTTCGCATGGGATTTTATGGTTAAGGGATTGATTGTATGGAATTCACATTCGTCTGATGTTTGGGATTAACGATTGATGATTGATGATTGATATTTAAAACAAAGTGTGTGGAGCATTAACACATGCTTCGGTAATTGTTTCAGGAGAGGGGGTGAAACTTTATCTTACTTTTTCTCACTTTGCTTTACTCTACTTCGGCTGGCTTTCTTCTAGACTGATACTACCTAGTATGATAGATAGGTAGATTTTTCTATACTTACGTAGATTACTTATACGGTTTCGATGCATGATTGATCGTCAGAGAGAAAGAAGAGGGGGGGGATTTTGTTGCGAGGTTTGCGTGTGAGGTTTTCGCATCGGATGGGTTGGGTTGGGAGGGGTTGACGAGAAGGAGGGATGGAGAAGAGGGGAGGGGAGGGAACGGGTTAGTTTGATGATCTGGGTTTCTGACTTGTTTATCTAGTTGGGTATGGTATTGTATTGAGAAATCTGATCTGGTGCTTTAATTTATCTTGTTTCTTTTCGCACTCTTTCCATTTGGATTTATATACATCTCATTGTTGATATCTACATCTATTCCATCATATCATCATATCATATCATATCTAAAAGTCCTCGACGATATAAGTATTCGATATCATATTCAACAACATCTCAAAGCTCTAGAATATAAAACAAAAGAAAATTTTGTTTTCGGGTCATATCAACTTGATTGCTTAACATATTTATGCTTTCGTATTGATATTGGTATTGATATTGACATCCATCTATCTACGCCCGGGAGAGAGAGATATATAGCATCATATCACACAACATCAGTCATCCCATACATCACATACATATCACAGTACACCACATCAAACATCACAACTTACACCCCGCCAAACCCCCCACATACCAAAAAATCATGAAATCAGCCCTCACCTACCTCTACAGCAGCAGCAAAACCGCGGCCGAAGAACGCACCCAAAATCGAGAATGGAGACGCACACAGATGTATGATGGGAATGGAGGGTACCGGGTGAGTAAATTGGGGGCTGTGGGAGAGGGGAGAGAGAGGAGATTTACTATGGGGGGGATGGGAGATGGGAGGGGGGAGAGGGAGAGAGGATTGAGGAATGAGAGGAGAGATGAGAGGAAGAGGGAACAAGAAAAGGAAAAGGAAAAAGAGAGGAGATTTACTATTGGGGGGTTGGGGATGGGGATCGAAAGAAGGAGAGAAGAAAAGGAGAGGGAGAAAGTGGAAAGAGGGAGAGAAAGAGGGGAAGGGGAAGAGGAGATGATAAGTGGATTACGATTGAGGAGATGGATGGGGGTGGTCATGAGGAGGGAGAGGGAGAGAGGGATATGCATGGGGAAAGAGTGGGAGAAGGAGAAGGAGAAGGAAGAGGAGGTGTGGGAGAAGGAAGGGAAAGGAGAGAAAGAGAAAGAGGAAGGTGGAGAAAAAGTGTGATTTCGATGTTTCAACCGGCTTTGAAGAGGGGGGATTTTTGATTTTTGATTTGGGGCTTGTGAAAAAGGAAGGGAGGGGAGGGAGTTTTGGATGATAGGAATAGGAATGAGAATGAGAGATGAGAATTTGTAAGGAGAAATGGAGTATAGTACTATTCATTGGATAGTTCATAAGGCTTTTGTAGTGGGATTGGAAATAAATAATCTATTTGGTTCGTTTTGATTATAGTTTGTATGGGTTGGAGAATAATAAAATAATAGAAATCTATCTCTTTTAATTTTCCAGTTCTCAAAACAATAAAGATTTCTCATATCCATCATCTCTTTCCATCTTCTCTCCTGGGAGTTTTGGATGATAGGAATAGGAATAGGAATAGAAATTTTGAGGAGGATTAGAGTACAGTACTATTTGTTAGATAGGTAGTGAGGATCTTGTAATCGGAATGGAATGGATTGATGTAGATAATCGTTTGAGGTTTTTTGGTTATGGTGTGTGGTTTGTGTGGTTTGAATTATAAGGTAGGTAGGTTAATGAATGAGAACAATATAAAAATCTAAGTATCCAATCCTCGAAAAAGAATGAAAAGTGCTCATACCCTTTTATTCCTTCCGTTCTTTCTTAAAATGTTGGATGATGGGAATGATAGGAATGGTTATCGTGAGAGATGGAGTACTGTTCGTTGGATAGTCAATCAAACTCTTGTAGTGGAATTGGATATAAACGATTGTTTGATGTTTTCGCATTGTGATTTGTGTAGATTGGATACAAGCGGACAGCAAAAATATATATCTATCCAATAGTCCAGTCCTTGAAAAACAATGAACAACTCTCATAACATCTTCTTTCCAAGTCCATTCTTACAAACCTACACCACAACACCCTCTCCAATCTCCACTATCGCTTTCACCAACCCCTCCATAGTTTCCCTTCTCGTCTGTACATTTACCACGGCCCTAAAGAATTTCCCCTTTTCTCCACTCGCATAATCCACCATAAATCCTCTCGTCAACAATTTCTGCGCGACATCTTGGGTAATTTTCGTATTTTGTTCCCGATCCCCCAAGGTTCCCTCTTTTGCATAGTAAAAACAAATCTGTAAACACGGGGGTGGATTTTGCGAAACCAGTACTAAATCTCTATGGTCCTCAACCAACTGGGCAAAATATTGCGCCACGGAAAAAGCATGATCGATTTGTTTCTGGAAACCAGATGTACCGTAGTAGATCCAGGAGAGAGCTAGTTTGAGAGAATCTCCACGACGTCCACATTGCAGAGTGAGATCTGCAAGATCCCAGACTTCGGATCCATCTTCGACGGTGTGGAAGAGGTAGTCTGCGGGGAGGGTGTTTGCTGTGTGGAATTTGGAGACATCGGGTGCGAGGAGGAAGGAACAGGTTACGGGGACATTTAACATTTTATGCGGGTTTACGGCCAGGGAGTCGGCGAGGTGGGAGCCTTTTAGTTTGGATGCGTGGGTGGGAGAGAAGATGGCGGGACCACCCCATGAAGCATCGATGTGGAACCAGAGGTTGTGAGATTTACAGATGGCGGAGATTTCGGTAAAGGGGTCGTAGGAACCATAGATGGTGGTTCCGGCGGTGGCATTTACGTAAAAGGGAGTTTTGTTTTCGGAAATGCTCTTTTTGATGAGGGAGTCGAGTTCCGAGGGGATCATACGACCTTGAGAATCGACGGGGACGGGAATCACGTTATTGGACCCGAGACCACACATTTGAGCTGCTTTTTCCAGGGAATAGTGACCATGAGCCGAAGTGAAGAGAACGAATTGATGGTTTCCATTTCCATCTTGTTTTGTTTCTGGGAAAAGAGTATTGCGGGCAATGATCATGGAGGTTGTGTTTGAAGCCGAACCACCTTGAGTTGAGATACCTCCTGCACGAGGACCATTGAAACCGAAAAGATTGGCAAAAGCTTTTGCCGTAGTTTTTTCAACAATGGTCAAGGCTGGGGAAACTTGGTATACATGAACCTATTGATGAGTTTAGTGTAGGGCTGACATGATGGATGATATGCAAGGTTATCAGTCGTCGAGACATGACCCATGAAGGATTAATCTCACATTTGTGTTTAAAACGGCCAATATTAATTCCGAAATAATTCCTACCTATCGATCAAGTTTTCAGCTGGAGTTCTTTTGAACGTGTAACTTTCACCGCTCCAATTGTGGATGCAGAGAGATGCAGAGAGATGCAGATGAATACGTACCGCGTTGGTGCTTGCATACAGTTTATCCAAGAATCCTTGATCCCACGTATTCACACTGTATTTGAGCACTTGCGCAATGGATGACAGTAAACCGTCTTTTCCTTTTCCATTGATGGGAAGATTGAAATCTAAGAGTTGGAGTAATTTCTCTGGCTTGTGATGTTCGAGAAGAGTGGTTCGAGGACCTCCACCGGGAATGGCTTTTCCATGACCGGTGTGTTTGATCATGGCATCCTCATCGGCCGACTTGATGAAAGGGATGATGAGAGATTGCACGGCATTGAGTAACTAGAATAATTGAATATGTTAGATGATGTGTAATTTTGATGGTTACTGTTGGTGACATTTGATTGGGATGATTGGGATGATTTGATATGACCACGAGATGATGGGGATATGAAAGAGATGGGTGGCTGGATTAAGGTTTTGATATTGAGATGAGGTATACGGGTATGTGTAGGTGAGGTGGTGTGCGTAGGTGGTGTGCGTAGCTAGGATGTGGAGGTAGCTAGGGATGTGTATAAGATTGAAGGGGTCATGATGATGAGTATGATAATGATAACTCGTGGAATGATGATGAGTATGATAATGACAACTCGTGGAATGATGATGAGAGTATGATAATGACAACTCGTGGAATGAATGAATGCATCGACTTTTTTCTCACATCTTCTACTTCGTCGGCACGGTTCAACGGGTTTGGAGCGTCTGGCCCAGTTGAAAGCGTGGTGTTGTCCCGGAGTGGTAAAGTGGTTTCAGATGTTACATTTGCAGACATTTTGAGGAGGATTTGATGTATATGGTAAGTAGAAAGGAAGATCAATGGAAGAATGCCGATGGAGAATATCAATTGAATATTAGCAGAAGAATATCAATCGAATATTAATAGAATATCAACAGAAGAATATCAATCGAATACCAACAGAAGAATATCAATCGAATGAATACCAACAGAATTCTTCAAAAAGAGAATTCGAATTACTAATAGTAATATATACCTAGTAACTATAAGTAATTGAGTTTACCGATTATATATGTGTATCTGTACCTCGTATATACCTAGGTACCGTTACCAGCAACATAGAATGACAACCTCACTCCAACAGTCAATGATGAATGCATTGATTGATTGATATTATATAAAAAAACCATAATCCACAGGATTATATTCCTGGCGATGACTAATAATAACTCTTCCAATATTACGATGTATTCAATTCCCATGACGCAAAGATTTCACCATCATCAGTCATTTTGGGATTGTCAAAGCCATCATAAACCTACGAAGGATCATACCGGCAAACGTATTAGCTGTTCTCAGTATAATATTCCCTTCTTCTACCCTACCTACCTGGGCTGGCTGGGCCATAGCAAACCAAAAGGAGCGAGAAAAGCGGCAGAATATCGGACCAAAGGAAACGGCTGTGAGATGTATCATCATGTATGGAGTGAAGTGAAGTGAAGTGAGAATCAAGTGAAGTGAAGTGAGTGAAGTGAGAATCAATATAAAGTCAGAGATACAGTGAACCCAAGTAAAGTTCGATTAAAAAAGGAAACTCAAAGGAAAGAAATGGAAAGAAAAAAATTGATAAAAAAATAAAATAAAAAAGGCTGAAGATCTCACCGCTTTGATGAACGCTGGGATGGAAAAAGTACGAGCAATATGTATGACAACAAGGCACGACAAGGCTTACAACCCACTTCGTTCCAACACTTTGACCAATTTTTTCTTAAACTTGTTCACTTCACTGGGCAGTGGGCACTCACTGGTTCATTCATTATTCGTTATCCATCACTCGATCGACTCTATCGAAAGGTCCATTCACGGTAATTCACGCCATCCAATTCATCATTTTGCCAAGAAGGTTCAGCTATGATACAAGGTTATTTCACAATCTTTTGGTACTTTATAGGTAAAAAGAGGTAAAGAGTACAAAAGAGTATAAAGTACAAAAGTAAACCGCTAGCGCCCGCAATTCACATTTCCAAAACTTTTGATTCGAATTCTTCAATTGCTTCAACTTCCTCCTCCCTCTTCCATATATCCCTTGATTCAGAGGAAAAGAAAAAAGAACAAAAGAAATCCAATCTCATTTCTTCACTATATTTTCATTCTTTCATTCTTTCAATTCTCCATTACATTCAATTCTATTCGACTCAATTCAGGTCAACTCTGTTCCATTCGATTCACCTCAACTCCCTCTCAAACACCACATCCCCTCCAAAATGCCAAAAGAAAATAAGCACGCGAGAGGTAGAAGAGACACCCTAAAAAGAAAGAGGGAAGAAAATACCGATAGGGAAGAAGATCATGATGGTGATTCGCAAGATCTAAAAAAGCGAAGATCTTTCCAAATTGAAGACGAGGTTTCTTTCATAGGTCTAGATAACGACAAAAGTTTACCCTCATTCCCAGCTGCCACAGGGACAAATGCAATCGAAGTTGCGGACCGACCTTATTATGGATTACTTGAGGACGAAGAACAAGAATACTTTCGAAGAGCAGACGAATTACTCGAGCTGAACGATTTCCCCTCGGATGAAGAACGAAGTCTTTTTCTCGCAAATGTATACCGGGAAGCGAGAGGAAAGGAATTGAAGATTGCTTGTAGTCAATCATGTTCGAGGTTAATGGAAAGATTGATTTTGTTGAGTACACCTCAGCAAAAAAAGAAATTATTCTCTCAATTTGCCGGAAATTTTCCTCATTTGGTATCACATCGTTTCGCAAGTCATTGTTGTGAAACGCTGTTCATTCAGTCGGCTTCAATTGTTACCGAGGAACTTACAGGTGAAGAAAAGAAGGAAGAGAAGAATGTGGCAGAGGCAAAGGCAAAGGCAGATGCAGAGGATGGAGAAGAGGCAAAAGAAGATGAGATTACTGAGTCGATGGAAAGTTTGTTTTTAGCAACCTTGGACGAACTCGAAGGACAGCTATCCTCTCTCCTCACCGATCGATTCGCTTCCCATACACTTCGAGTTTTACTCATCATCCTTTCCGGTCGACCTTTAGAGAAATCTTCGACAAAATCATTACTACAAAGCAAGAAGAAGGAAAAGGTTGGTATAAATGGATTGGATACCGCTCCGACAGAATTCTCGCTCAGTAAGCGTCCTGTGCCAGAATCTTTCTTGTGGGCAATTGAGAAGATTATTTCGGATACCATTGCTTCTATGGATAGAGCTTTTATTCAAGTTTTGGTTGGGCATCCTACTGGAAATCCTTGTTTGCAATTATTACTCGAATTGGAGCTCACAAACCCAAGCTCCAAAAAGGGTGGTAATTCGGAACAAAAGACTCTCATTTCGACACTTCTGCCAGATGACATTACGGTGGAAGGTAGTCAATCTGCCATCTTCGTCAATGGCATTGTCTATGATCAAATTGGATCCAGGGCTTTGGAAACAATCATGACACACAGTCCAGGAAAGTTATTCAAACAAATTTATCGAGCAATTTTCAAGGATCGAATCGCAGGATTGGCACGAAACGAAATCGCATCTTACGTTGTCATTCGAGTCTTGAATCGTCTCAGCAAAGAAGATCTTGAGGAAGCGATAACCGAAATTTCTCCTCAAATCGAAGGTTTGGTCGGCAGACAACGTACAAATATTATCAAGGTTTTATTGGAACGTTGTCAAGTACGACGTGCAAGCACTGAAGCTCTCACCAAAAGCATTGCCGATGCATATGGATCTGATAAGAATGAGTTGATATTGAAGATGGCCGATGTTTCTCTCGAAACTCTTACATTAGCTACAGCACCACCTCCAGCCGCTGCTCAGGATGATAAACCAGCTCCGGTTCCTGTTTTACCAAAACCCAGCCCATCTCAGCTTCATGGATCATTACTTGCTCAGGCTATGCTCAAGATCCCGGGACCACCTGCGCAACTCATTCAGAATTCTTTATTGGCTCTTCCTACCTCTACAATTCTCGCACTCTCTTTATACCCAACCACAACTCATGTTATTCAAGCATCATTGCTTCCTTCTCCGCCTAATACTCCTTCAAACCTTTTATTCCGTCGCAAACTCATCAATTCTATTATATCACCTTCAGCCGGAGCTACTCCAACACCTCAACCTCCAATCATCACCTTATCCTTGTCGTCTGCAGGAACACACATCTTGGATTCCCTTTTACATACCACGACCACCCCAACATCTACTTCTTCAGCTTCCCTATTTTCCCTCTGCGAACGTATCGCTATGTCCCTCATGCCTTACGAGCCTATACTTAGAGATAGCTGGACTGGGAGAATTGTTTGGAGAAATTGGTCCATGGACTTATTCAAGAGAAGAAGAGCCGATTGGGTGAAGAGAGTTAAGAGTGGTGATACCCAAGGAAAATCGAATATTCAAAGTCAAATGGTATTGAAAAGTCAAGATGGTAATGCAAATGCTATCGTTGGAAAGGAAATCCTTGGAGATGGAATTGGAAAGCCACATGGAAAGGGTAAAGGTGGTGAGAAGGAGTTTGGAGGAGAAAGACAAAAGAGTGCTATCGAGTTGGCAAGAGAAAAGTTTGCTGCTCAAAAACTTGCCGTTGGAAAACTAAAGACTATGCCACCAAAGGGATTCAGAGCAACTGGTGCAAATGCTATTTGAGGGGACCAAATTGCAATTTGGGAGGGGGGATTGGATTAAACGAACATGGAATCATGAACGAGTCTTCACGATAATGACATGATGGAACTGAATGGATGGATCAAAATACTCACGACACCACTCGCTTTTCTGGAAAACGAACGTACGAGCAAAAAGGTGTTAGCCTACGAAAATTGGGATGGATGAGAACCGGATATTTAGAAAGCCAAGGCAAAATAACGAACGAGAAACAGGCACATGAAGGGTCAAAAAAAAAGGGTGTTTGATATGAGAATGCAAAAGACTACGAATGTGGTAGCTAGGAGCGGCGAGAAAGAGTTTTTACTTTACTTTCTTTTTTCGTTTGTTTGTCTGTCTACTCTGGTCCGCAATAAGATGTTCTTGGTTGTTTGATTGACTTTCAAATAATGAGTTTTCTTGTTGGTTATTTCTTTTTTTGATTGATCAAACATATTAGCGTGCATAGCGAGAGGAAATGGGGATAGGGATCGATGGATGAACGAACGGAAGATGAGAAGAGGGGGCCGGTGGATGAGATTAGATTAGTGGGAGAATGAAAATGATAATTTGGAATTTGATATCAGAAAATTCATTTTTTGGATCTTGATTGAAGTGTGGCTGAAGTATGATTGAAATGTGATGTGGCGTTTTGAAGATGGCGATTTGGTAAGTGAGCGAACTAAATATGAAGGTGGAGTTTGATAGGGGAGGAGAGGGGGGGGGGAGCGTATGGGATTGGATGGGCCATGGGGTGAATTCTGAATTTGGATCTGGATTTGAGAGACGAGATCGCGTGGGAGTTTGGGGGATGTTAGTGTAGGAATAGGTGGAGGGGAGGGAATGGGATAAGATGAGATGAGAATGATTTAAATGATTTGAATGATTTGAATGGTGGTGATGAGGTGAGTGATTGATTTGAGAGGAGGGAGCTTCGGTCGATCGAATCAAGAACTAGGAGCTAGTTTGGGGGTTTTACATTTTTCATACAATTGAGATCGAAATCGTTGTTTGTGTATCTGAATGTTATGTGCTAGGGTTTGATTTAAGGGAGGGGGGTGGGTATTTGATGATGGAAGGATTTTCGGGGTTTCAATTAGCTTTGAGTTTTGAGGGGAGAGAGATGCTGGATGGATGGTGATGGGTGTTGGCGTCTGGGATATGAACTCATCCTATCAGCAAGGTTGTGGTTGTGAGGTAGGAGGAGTTTAAAGTGGTGTGAGGAACGTGGGTTTCTTGGAAGTTGGACGCTGTTTTTGTTTGTTTTTATTGGGTTTACATATACTTTGATATGTATAGATCTGAGTACCCATTTGATGATTGAAAACACCCAATCGAAGACATCTTTCGCTAGATTTCCTTTCGTAATTTTGGGCCACCGATTTACTAAAGCTCTAGTCATCCTTCTTGTTATGTTCCCAAAATAATGGGAATGTTTTCAATTTCTGATGGATTCATTCTCTCTCCGTCAAGCATATGACCTCTACCTTCCAAAGAATCACCTCTCCACTTTTCAACCCCAGACGAATGATCCAAACCCCCTTCCTCCATCTCTTCGCTCCCATCCAACTCCCCACTCCCGCAACCCCAACCTCCTCCTCATCGCCCCCTGCATCTCCATCAACCTCCTAATCACCACCAGCCTATCCCTCCCCCTCACAACCCCCCTCTCCTCCTCCGTCAAATCCTTCACATCCACCCATCTCGAAGGTTCCATCGGCATCCCCACCAAAAAGTTCTCATCCTCCAATCCCCATACGTCTCCACCGGACACGGAATCCCCGTTGAGGTTTCTTCCGCTTTCGCCATCATGGCTCGATCTTCTCGGGCTCGCATTATGGCTTCCTCCATCTTTTTTTTCCGCGTCGGGCGTGGTATGAGGCTCAGAGATGGATTTGGTGGCCTTCTACCCGGGCCAGAAATCGGAATACTGCGAAGAGCGCGATGAAGATAGGACTACCTAGTATAAATGTGAGGACGAGAATGCTTCTTAATTCGCTTCCGCCGAAAATGAAGGAGTCGATTGTGTCCATGTTCGATTTGAGTGGTGTTTGGTGAACAATTTTGGTGCATTTTGCTTTTCAATTGATGGTGATAGAGTGAGTGATGATGGAGAGAGATATGTATTTATAATAAATGAAGGTGAGTTGTATGAACTGATGAAGAAGCATTTCATTTATATTTTATATTTTTTTATGGGATTTAAGATCCTGTACTATGATTTAGTCTATATCTATCTGGAACCTTTGTAACATTCCAGATTTTCTAAAATCTTGAATATCTGACTTGAAAGATAATCGATCTCTCGTTTTCCAGTGTCTCTAATTCTGCTGATGGTGTCCATACGGACTTTTTAACTTCCTGATAATTGATGTCGCAATTAAGAGGCATATTTTCAACTCACACATAAACGAAACATCACCATCTGTCAAAACCTCAGTAAGTCCTAGTGACTCCAAATCAACCCGCTGATACGTTTATTTTCATTATCCAGTCAGAGTTCGATAAATACCCAAGTCGGAAAATCAAGGAGGGGTTTAACGAGATTGAGTTCGCTTAGTATATCGATTAGTACCTATCTAGCTCTACACAAGACGTTCTAGTCACATCTTCTCAGGATTGGGAAAAGGTCATTTCAGTTTTATCACGATAACAATTTCTTTCTACAAATTCTACAATCATGTGCGCATTACATTGAAACTATATCTCTCCATGTGATAAAAATATTCGATCCCTTAATAATACCCATAACTCCATCGATACATGATTTTCCCCGCTCCGGCGCCCCCAAGATGATAAAATATCCAATCCATGTCCCCTCAAAATATGAAATTAAACATCATGATACCAAATCTACAAATCCACATATTCCCTCCACAAACTATGTTTCGCCTTCCAATATCTCGTCGGACTACTCGGATACACACTACGACAAATATCCGTATCAACAGGCGTAACCACAAACCCCCTTTTAATCACCATTTTCTTCCCCTTTTCCGGCGAAACCCTCTCAGCCAGCTCCCACGATCTCCCACGATCTTCTTGGATGTCAATTGCTTCCTTTTGGAAATCCAAATTCCGCCTCTCCGGTTTCCCCCAATCGAAATAGAGATGTTCGTGCTCGTGTTTATTTTTGGTGTAGGTGAGGTGCACAGTAATCGGTTGGCCGACGATAACATGGAGGCTTCGTTTGATGATGTAGGGTTTGGCGCAAATGGTGGCGGTGTAGGACTTTTCGACGAGGGATTGGAAGGAGATGGTTTCTTGGGGGATCTTTTTCTTGTTGGGGAGTTGGGGGTTGTAGATGTCGGTTTTACAGGGCCGACAGTGGCGGCCGTGTAGGCGATTGAGGGATGAGCGGATTGAAAAGGGCATTTGGGGGTGGATGGTGGAGATGAGGTGGGAACTGGAATCGGATTAATAGAAGATGAGATTTCGATGAGGATTTTGGGAGTGGAAGTAGTGATCTGATCTGATCTGATCTGATTTGATGTGAATTATGACTTTCTAAAATTTCAAGGGGAAACATCACTTTATATATTTCTATCTAGGGCAAGATATGTCATTCTTGTCACTCCGCAAGTACTTTAAAGCGTGGAACTTCATATCACTACTAACCAACTAAATTCAGATATAGTGTCGACAAACTTTTGGGTACAATAGATGTATAGCCTGACGGGACACTTCTCAACACATGAAATTCTCAACGTATTCACTTTTCAATTATTTGATATCAGCGTTCCTTTATTGATTATTTAATTCGTAATGGAGCAGTACAAGTACTCCTGAGATATATCAATCAATTTATCAAGAGATATCTCCAAGTTCGTTCTTGAAGTCCCATCAGACTACACACCCGCTAGTGATACCGAAAAGGTATCGCAAATCTCCAGATTACAAGCACCCAAGAAACTAGCGCATAGATTCATAGCTTTTCTTTCGCTCTGGTGTCATGATACCACGCCATCTGATGCGGGTTTCATGACCGTTCATATCTATGGCTATCATTTCGAGACTTTCTTTATCGCTTGGGTCGTTGATTATAGCGGGGTGATTGTTGTCTAGAATCTGTAGGCTTTCTCTGTCGCTCGATTGTTCGGTAACAGAAGGGTGATTGTCTTCTACCATTCGTAAACGTTCCTTATCACTCGATTCCTTGGTGATAGTGGTGGGGTTGTCTTTCACCATCTGCAGACTCCCCCTTGCATTCAATTCCCCAGTGATAGCCGTGTGATTATCTTCTACCATCTCTACTTTTTCCTGAGATCCACTAAGCTCTTCCCCCGCCATCTCGACTCTTTCTGGTTGTGTAACCTCACCCAAAGAGACCGAAGGATTGAAATCGATAACTTCCTGAACATGCGTAACTCCATGGACATCAATCACGGTAATGGTGATTGGTTTGTATGTTCGATAGTCAATGATTCCTCTATCATATTCCTCCTCAGTAATCTCTCTCATTCCGAGTCTTTGTTCTGTAATAACATTACTTTGGCGGTTCATTTCGGTATTGAGTTTGGTTTCTTTATCGACTTTGATTTGGGCTTTTTTTTGAGCCTGTTTTTGGATACATTTTTGATGTCGGTTGTGAAACAACTTCGAAAAGAAGGACCCCAAACAGAGACAGACCATTTTGATGATTGGATGAGATGTGACGTGAAGGATGGTTCGTTTGATGTGGTTTGGAAATGATGTTTGGGCAATTGGATGTAAACTTATGAAACTTTTAAGGATGGAATCTCATAAAAATTTGACGGGGTTGTCTAGATGGTTTTATTTATGGGCAATCGTTCGAGGGCGAGATACTTTTCTTGATTGAGTCTGATTCAGACTTAGTGGTTAATCGTTGACCGTACTAGACATAGCTAGCGCCGTACCGGATCTTGACAACCGCACGTCGAATCTACGGCTCTGTCTTTCTAGAATCAGGTGATCATGAATCGATGTCGAAGTTCGTGTGGCTTGAATTGACTTTTTTTCCTGACAGGAGCTGAGTCACTGGGAGAGCTAGGGTCATCCGTTTCTTTTCATGCTGGATATCTGGTCATCGCATCAGTAGAAATTAATTACAATTTAATATTTCCACAGTAGATAAATACTTCATTTCTTCAAGTTGAGTTGTTCATGAAATCTCTTCTAGTAGGGGGTATCCAGATCAAAATATGTCACTTTTTCAGAAGAGACTGAATAACGTATTTTTCCCTGCCCAGTTACATTATGAGCAATCCCAAATAAATACCATTGCTCCGTCTCATGGTAGGCTCCTGATTTCAGAATGACCAGGCCTTTGAGACCATTAACCCCATTACTAGACCGAAGCTCAATCGCAGTGCTATGATCAAAAAGATAATTAACACTCATGAAAGGTACTCAAATCTGAGGTATGAGAAATCGACTAGGACTATTGCCTAGATATCAGAAGACAAGCACAACCAACGCCCGAATTTACCCAGGAACAGATCCATTAGTCACGAAGAACAAAACTTTCTCCATGAATACACTCATTTTCTCCTTCGTACTCATGACTTGACGACGAATTACAAGGTCATTTCTCCTAGTACGTTCTTTAATTTGATCCATAATTATTTCTGTAAAATTTTGGTTCTTGGGCTTAGAAGTAACGTAAGTCATGGCGTAATGCGTCTAATGGCGTAATGCGTCTAATTGTGGGGGACCACCCCATCAAAAAAGCAACAATTCAACAATGGTCCGTCGAAAAAGTTTAAAAGTGCAGGAAATGGAATCTCGACTTTCTGAAGCAGTATTAGGAGTTCAAAATGGAAAGTATAAGTCTTTATATGAAGCTGCAAAAGAACTGGGGCTTTCTAAAGATACTGTGACGCGACGCGTCAAAGGGGGTTCATCGCGTTCTGAAGCACGTCAATCGCAACAGAAACTTTCTGCTGTACAAGAGAATGTACTTCTTAAGTGGATAAGCAATTGACAATTAGCGGCTATTCACCAGGCCATCAGTTGTTAAAAGAATTGGCTGAGGAGTTACGTTCAAAACGGACTTATAATTTGGAATGCCCCTCATTTGACTCCCTTGAACTCCCACCACAACACCTTCTTGGTCATGAATGGGTTCCACGATTTATCAAACGACATCCTCATCTTACAGTTGTTATTGGCCGTCGAATTGAATCTGTAAGAATGGATGGTGCAACCAGGGAAACATGTAGTACTTGGTTTGACGCGTATCAAAAAGCGATTCAGGATTATGGAATTGAGAAGAAAGACGAATATAATATGGATGAATCTGGACATTCAATTGGGACAATGGAATCAACTCGAATTATTATCGATTCTACACTTCGTACAAAACATCAAGCACATCCAGGCCGTCAAGAGTGGATTTCAATGGTAGAGTGTATTTGTGCGGATGGATCCATTCTTCCACCACTCGGGATTTTTAAAGGTAAAAATGTCCTTCAAAATTGGATTCCGAAGGAAGTTCTTGGTAGCTGGTTCTTTTCAGCAAATACAAAGGGCTGGACAAGCAATCTTCATGGATTAGAATGGCTAAAACGCGTTTTCGAACCTGCAACTCGTGCAAAAGCAGGTGGCAAATATCGGCTTCTCATCTGCGATGGCCACGATTCTCATATTAGTGGAAGCTTTATAGCTCACTGCCTTCAAAATCGAATTGTACTTCTTATACTTCCTCCTCATACCTCGCATTTGCTTCAGCCACTTGATGTTGCGGTTTTCGGTCCATTGAAAAAAACGGCTCACCGCAGCACTTTCTGATTTGAATCAAGCTCAACTTGTACGAATACAAAAGATTGAATGGATGGAGGCATATATTAAAGCTCGAGCCGACGTATGCCATCATCAAAATATCGAATCGGCATGGCGGGGAGCTGGGTTACATCCATTTAATCCACAGAGAGTGTTCCGTACACTGGGTCGAGAGTTTACCCCCGAAGTCGAAATATCCAAAGAACCAACCCAATTTGATATTTTTAACCAAGTCTTCGTCAATAGCTCACCCCCGGATGTAGCAATCTTACAAACAGCAAATAACCTTTTAAATTCAACAATTGAAAATGATACGACTCTTTCAACCCCGGTTCGTCAATACATTCGAAAATTGACGATTGGGAGTGAGCAACTTCGAGCTCAAAGTATTGTTCACCAACACGATGCGAATAATTTACGAGCTATTATTAAGAAACGTACGATACGTAAGAAAGGAAAGAGACTAGTTTTGAAGGGTCATTTTCATATTTCTACGCAAGAATTATGTGATGCAGTAGTGGAAGTCGAAAAAGCTACTAAGGTACAGACAATGAAAAAAGGAAAAGGGAAAGGGAAAGTAATTGAATATGAAACTGAAACTGAAGAGGATATTGGAGAAGAAGTTGAAGATGAATCTGAAAGTGATACTGGAGATTGTATTATAGTTGATTGTTGAGTAATTGAGATTTTAATAGAGTGGTTCCCCGCAATTAGACGCATTACGCCATTAGACGCATTACGCCATGACTTACGTTAGCGAGTAAAGCCGCTAACCAGTAAATGACTTGTGAAATCGAATTTGGTAAATTCATCATTCCGAGTGGGAAAGCTGAGATTTGACGTTACAAAGACTTGAAATTTGAGATAATTGAATTCGATGGCTTTGTAGATGGCGGGGATACTATTGTACCGTATCAAAATAGAGGGGAATTAGTTCTAGTTTGTGCTTAAGTTTGGAATAAAATAAAGAATATACATTTTTTGATAAGAACCTGAAAAATCATACATGTAGGAAACATTTAGGGCTGTGAAGTTAGTGACAGACTAGACATTAGACAATTAGTGTCGGTACATGATGCGATGATCTTGAGTCCGGTTGAAATAGGAGAACTCGTTTAAATGAGGCTAAACCATTTTAGGTCTACCATCTCTTCCGGCGTACCACTAGATTGTTCTAAGGTATTTTTGATTACAACTTTAGGGGATGTTATCTTGATGGTTGCAGAATTGAGTAATCTGAGTTGCATCATTCTCATCCGGGCCACAGTGGTCAGGAGAAAATGTGGTAATGTTGAATTTATATACGGCTGTAAAATGATTATTAGGTATTTAATCTAGAATTTTGGTTCAGAAAATTGAGAACCGTTTCTAGAGCCGAAATTTTATGTATCCCTAGCTACATATATAAATTGTGAAAGAATCTGAATATTATCCAACATTCGAGCCTGCAAAGTGAATCATTAGCTATGAAATAGACATCGAGCGACCGGAACCAGCAGGCACTGCGGATCTCGGTCAATTTTTTATCAATTATTTCGCCTGTAAAATAAGATCAGAAACTTCCAGAGTCAAGGCGGGGCAACTGGGGCTTGCAAAATAAGGTTCCAAGTGCTTTTAATGTTCGTCATGAATTGAGGGATTGTATTTCAAGGAGTTTATAGGACTGAGAAGTAAATTTGGCAATCATTTGTAGTGGCACAAGAATGTGTCTTGTTCGCCGTGCCGATTTAATGAACTTGTTTAGTCGAGGTAGTCCAATGTGATGATGATTTCTTAACTGACGAAAAAGCATACCGAAAGAAACATCGAGTACTTCGTACTGCTGCGCAGTTGTGTTGACATAAAAAGAGTCGACTCTGCGCATCACATTGTAACCGCACCAAGTACCTACTCAAAATCATACTCCAACGATAAGTTCTCCAGGAAATCATGTGTGAAACAGTGGCCTTGCTCTGAACACACACCATTATTTCTGTAGATTGCACTGGCCTTCTCCGAACCAGCTGTTCTCATTATCCTTGATCACACTATTAAGCCGCTCTATACGTGGCGAAAGCTAACTATTTCAGGGCCGGCGAGAGGATCATCCTGCCAAGGTTCACACGGGCCATTTCTGTATGGCGTAGGCTCTCTTTACTAGACTCAATAATAAGGCTATATGGTAAAATGAGAATGTGAGAGCGATTGTGTAATATGAATCCGGACAATGATATCAATTGGGACAATCATAGGGTTTGAAACTGGGAAGAGCTCTAAATTTATTGAATCTGTAATAAAGCTACCTACCACTTTTTAGTTACCACTTCTTTGGTGCCCCAACGACCGTCCTTGAAAATGTAGCACTGGCAATCGTTGGAGATACGGTTTTGGCTTTCTCTTTTGCTATTATACCTGTCCTATCGGTGACAGGGGTAGCATCGATAATGTTGTCAAATTCATCATCTTCTCCATTATCAGAATCCGCTTCGACTTCAGAATCCTCTTTCAATGGTACTGGCCTTGAGATCTTTTCTGGTGCGACCTTTTGACTGGAAATTTGTGGGTTGGCAAATGGTTTGGAGGCAAGGACTCTTCGACGGAGTTCTGCCATTTCTTCATCATCATCCTCATCATCAGAAATGGCAAAAGGATCCTTATCTTCAACCTCCTCCTCCTCCTCATCATCATCTTCGGATATGGGTTTCTTTTTTGGTTGTTCTTTACCGAGATAAATTCCATCGACTTCGTCGTCACTGTCTTTTCCTTCTTCGTCTTCTTCATCATCCTCATCCTCATCCTCTGAACTTTCAGGTAATCTATGATTCGTGTTTCCACTTTTCCAAATGTCATCTTCACCATCCGCACCACCCTCTCTACTCTCTTTATATTCTCTCTCTAATTTCTCCATCCAA